TCTCTTTCTTTCTCTCTTTCTTCCGCGGACTCTGCCTTCAGGACGTTTAAATAAATCGCTAGCTTCGCGAAAATTCTGAACTATCCATAATCATAATCCGCCGATGTTTCGACATTATTTTTCAGACGAGCGGATTCTCGAGACGTCTCGTTTCTTGGCGGTTCAAGTCGCTTATACATTTACACTTTGAAATTGAAAACCTCTTTGAAGAAGCAGTTGAAACCTCTCATGACAGAAGTTTCCTCTTCCTCTTGACAACGGCGTGTTCGATCACGGGGTTAGAGCAAAAATCCCATAATCTTTCCCGGAGCTTCTCTACACGCGGCCAATTTCCTGTCTTTCTCGATCTCAAATTTACGGACACTAATTGTGCGACGTGGAGAGGAAAGCGTTAATGTCTCGTCGACTTTGCTCGCGCTCCACCGTTGCGGACTCTCTGATATATTTCTCGACTGTTAAAGAGTTTGAACGAGAAAAGGGGAAAGACGGAAAGGGAGGACGGCTGTGACGTGTAGTGCAATCTGTGTAAAGTAGACTCCGGGGACCGCGGGAAGGCAGTTAGAACGTGACATGACGAGAGAGTTATAGAAGTCGAAGAGTACGAAAGGACGAAAAAAGCGGTGGGAGACAGACTTTTGTTAAGCTTCCGAAGTGGGAATTGTCAACGTGAGATCGGTGAGTTTTTATCTGTGATGTTTATCTAGCTGTAGCTGTAGTTTGAGTATTACCATAGTTACGTAAGGAATATTTTATATAGCAAACAGTAAGTAAAGGAATTATTCAATCAGAGAAAATGGAGAAAGATCTCGATGAATTAACAGAGCTATATTCATTATTTATGACCATCTTCGAATGAGCAACAAGTGTGGCTGGCATTGTGTCAGACAATCTATTTCTGATATCGATTTATAAATGACTCTTCTCTACATGTATCGTATATTTTTACAAGGAAAGAATCTAGGTTTTCTGCAACATTAATTTATCTAGCTACAACAAAATGGATATTATCTGAAAAATTTACATTTCATATAATCCTTTTTCATAAGACGGCTTTCATTTTTCTCGTATATAGGTAAAATATAAAGAAAATATAAAGAAAATATGTATAGCCTACAACTTTATATATTCTTATGAAAAATGACAATTTTATTTAATTATCTGATTTATAAAAAATAATCGGTCACTTGCGAAAATAATGTATTAAATGACAAATAATAATAACGGATACAGCAAACGTTTAGCGAATATTTAGCGTTCTAGAGTTGTTAGTTCAAACACGCGCTTTAAAATAGTACACGATAAGATAAAGAAGAGTAGAGAGAAATGAGGAGAGACGAAGAGAAGCAAGAAGAGAGCCAGAGTGTGACAAAAAGGACCTGCTGTAGGAGCATGAGTGACGTTAAGCTGACGTGAGTGGAAGGGCTGGCCAAAGTCGTGGGTGGTCCATAAACGGAAGAAGGATAGAGGAAACAGTTGATAAAGCAGAAGTATGGCAGAGAGATAGAAGGACGTAGCAAAGTGTCGTGTGACTGAATAATAACAAAAAGAGAGAATTTGTTGCTTGGCAAGACAGAATAGCTCCAGAATAATCCCGTTCAATTAATGCATAATGATGACATAACAGAGTTAAAGATTCAGAGAGAGTATTTAGCGAAATATTATTATTTTTGTTGAATCATAAATTCAGATGTTGATTATTAAACTGTAAATTTAATTGTTTTATATATGCGTCAATAAGGTCATCAATGCCCAAATTTATATGCAATTTTTACAACTATGACGTGTAGCTCATTTCAATTCTTTAATAACGCGTAAATATTTTAGAAAAAATGTAATGTCGCATTCATGTCAAAAATTAATGCGCGTTTAAAAGATAATGTCGCATTGAATAATTTATATATTCATTTATATTATTTCATATAATATGATCTTGTGTAATAATGTAAGAAATATAAATGATGTAAATTGCGAAAAACTATATGTGCATATTAATCTCTTTAGATCGCGCGTGCAACTGTTATTTATCAATATATTTTAAAGAAAAGCTTTCGTTAACTAATAATGAAATTTATATTTTGCAAAATTTCCACTTTTTAAAGGCATGGCTAATAGTATTACCGTAGTTTGATATGAAATGAAGAAACCAAAATAATTT